TTATCTACATTACTTATAGCAGTCCACAGCAGATCTTTAGACCCCTTTCATCCACGGAGGACTTAACGGCCGGGGCTCCGGCTCGAAGGGCAGTAGGAATGGGGTGGTTTTTAGTCAGTATCAGTAATCATCGAATGGCTTGACTTGACTGACTGATCCTCACCCAGGCGAGAGAGAAGTCATTCGGTGATTTTCCCCCCTTAAAAAGACTACGTCTATATAATAAAAGTTTGCTATAGTGTTGCAATGTGGAGCAATGAGGGAGACGTGTTGGTGTTACGAATATCTTTAATTGAGTGACCTAATATCTAACTTACACTACTTACTTATAGGGCGAGGTGTCACAAACACTACAGTGTCCACGCTAGGCACGCGTGTTGGAACTCCCCTCGCTTCTGTTTTCTCCCAAACTTGAAGCTTGTTGCGAACAAGGTATTAGACGGGTCTTACGCACCTACGAAAAGAGTGTGGGTGGGTAGTGACTACTGGTGTCAAATGTATTATTCTGACGCCACCATACGGCACTTCCCTCTCGCCTATTTCCTCTAAAATGGCCTAAAGCTTTATGGACTGTAAAATTAGTAAGTAGGAGCACGTATGGATGGGCGGGCCAGTCGCCATGCCGCTTTATGATAATAGGTGGGCGGATCTTTCGTTACACAATTGATTAATTCGCTTTTCAACACTTTTCCAGATATTTTTATTGTTATTTATGAAATATAAATAGAATTTTATTCGCAGAAACATGTGATACAATATGTATCTTAGTCTATTTTCTATTAACAGTACGGTGTATTCTACCTTTTCCAGGCCTGCAAATGTTAAGGTACATTACATAGAATTAAATCCAATTTCATTTGTTTAACTATCTATGGAGGTCTAGTGTAATACTTTCTGTATTTGTTGCTACAAATAAGAAAATCCATACTAATATTATAAATCGGAAAGTGAGTTTGTTTGTTTGTTCCACTTGCACGCCGTAACTACTAGACCCATTGCTTTAAATTTTGCAGATGTGAAGTTAGAAGTCTGGATTAAATAATAGGGTACTTTTTATCCCGGAAAAAAAAAATATTCTTGAGGGAAAACGAAATTATTGGTATAGATGGCGGTGTGTGTATTGGTATAATGTCACATAGGTTACTTTTTATTATTTTATGACGCGAGCGAAGCCGCGGGTAAAAGCTTGTTTATAAATAAGGGAAATTAGTTATAGCTAGAAAACCCTTGACGTTAAGGTTCATCATGGTTGAATTTGAAAAAAGCTTTACACAGGAGTCGAGTGACTCTTATTTTTTAGGTAGACTTAGTTTTGATACCTATTCTATTTAGATTTTTTAAGTATATAGTGATATGATATCAGTTGCTAACTTTTAATCTACTGTAGATCCTGGCTTACAGGAGATTAAAGCAGCGGTTTTAGGAGGTTGTGGCCGGCTTGACCCAATATTTCTTTTTTATGCGATAAGCCGGCAAACTAGCAGATGGGTCACCTGATGGTAAGCAATCGGCGCCGTCCATGGACACCGTAACAAGAGCGTTACCAGTTTATTTGAGGATTGTTGGCGAGATTGGGGAGGGGGTTAATGACTCACACGATGAAACACAACACAAGCGTTGTTTCACGTCTGTTTTCTTTCAGGCCGTGGTATCACTCCGGTCGAGCCGGCCTATTCGTGCCGATGCATGACTCGCCCACACTTGAAGAACTTTCAATTCGTAGACTGAGATAAGTAACAATAATCTCTCTAAAATCATTAACTAGATATGATAAACAGCTTTGTCAATTCATTTCAATGGTCAACAAAAAAAATAACAAACGAAATTAGAAACGATACAGGGCCTTTAGCCAAACGCCACTTTAGCGCTTGTCTACAGAGAAAGTAGAAATCAACATGTATGGGGATGACACTGACAAGTGTAAAAATTTACGTCAATTTCATATAATTTGGTTTTCTATTCTACATGTAGACAACCGATAAATGACATTTGGCTACAGCTGCTGGTTTATTTAATTCAGGAATTATCATTAAATTCTTTTAGAAGGAACAGTTCCAGGTAATAATAATATGTAAAAAGATATGATAGCTTAGCATATTTAAGTTAAATACTCTAATGGGCGATTTTTCAATTATATGTTAGTTCTTCGACACATCGACACATAGAAACATTGAACCTAATCGAACAGTTCTGTAATTCTAATTGGATGACAGCTTTAACTCATGACAAGCCAGGAAGAGCAACATTTTTTTTCTTTATTGGGCCGACGTTTGACCACTATCTCGCTGGTGGTAAGTGACGATGCGGTTTACGATGTAGCACGTCATCCCATAAGCAACCTATTCACTTGGGCCTTGAAGATGCTCAGGTTACAATGTATACCTAATGTATTCTTGGCTTTAAAATATCATTTTATTTACGTATTTTTTATGTATTACATTAGATAGGTACATTATATCATTTATGAACGTTTTAACTATGAATAATAATTATTATAAATAGATTAGGTAACACAAACAAAACTACTTCATTGGTGATCATGAAAAATGATTTTTGATAAATCACAATAGTTACTTAGCCACGTGCAAAATCATATACCTAGAGTAGACATTTTTGGGTACAATCATATAAAAGATACATATAGGGTGAGTTGGGGGGGTGGCTACAAGGGTGGTTTTAGTGAAGTAAGGACCCCCATACTCCCTAGTCTGTCTCCCCGAAGGCTAGGCACCCTCCACCATGTAAACAGGTACAGAAAATCAATACTAAGTCGTGAATTCCCGTCTAGGTTATTTAGACAACATAACATCACGCCTTTTATCCCCGAAGGTATAGGCAGTGATGCAAATTACGGCACTGTACAATGTAACACCCACTTTTCACTATTTATGTCATGAGTCCCATGTAATAGGGGGTAAACCTATTGCCATATACCGGGCACAATTCCAGACTCAGTGCTACTACTGAGATTTTGTTCAAAACAACCAGTAGTACTTTGCATGACCCGGGAATTGAAACCGATTACACGCCCGATATCACATATTACAGCATACTGATCAAATCAACCTTAAAATGTATCGTAAATCAATAAACTCGTAAAAATAAAATAGTCACCAACGAAAATTTAGTGAAATAACTCAAGAGGTATGATTACTGATGTTGATTATACCTCTATTTGACTATATAGTTAAAATGTTCATAAGTAATTACTAATGGTTCAGACAAAAGTTTGAGCGTTTTATTTAAATAGGTAAGCAGAATAGTGAAGTGCTTGAAATGAACGTGAAGTAATTGTATGTCTTGTGTTCATGGTGCGACTGTAAGAATAATCTTATCTTATATCTTATACTATTATATAAAGCGGAAGAGTTTGTTTGTTTGTTTGAACGCGCTAGTCTCCGTAATTACAAGTCTGATTTGAATAATAATTTTTGTGTTGGATAGTGCATTTATTGAGGATGGCTATAGATTATAAATCATCACGCTATGACGTAGCTAGTAAAGACCATAAAGGCCATAATCCTCACGATTAGCAGGCGCAGGCGGCTTGTCATCGCCATCATCATCGTCAAAAACCCGTTAGAGTCTACAGCTGGGGCATGGGTCTTCTCTCCAAAAAAATGGTTTGCCATTATCCTTACGCATGGCAATCGGATAAGTAGAAAGCTGCTGCCTGATCATTGTTAAATATCCTCTAGTCGACTCTTACGATGCCCCTGGGAAGATTTGAGGTGGTAACAATTATTTTCTCTAGTCTGCCGTTATCATAAGGCTAAGGTAACTGGTAAGGCAAGAAAGTTTAACCTAGACGGACGCTGCAGTCCGTCTGTCAGAGGGTCCTTGCAAGATGTACCCGGATCCATTTCGCCCATTACCGAGAAGAGGAAATCGGCTAAGGTTCCCTCCCCTAAATAAAATCTTCTGCACTCGAACAAGATGGTTACTGGAAACTCCCACGCACCACTACTGGATCAGCGTCTCCTCAAAATATTATTTAAACTATTATCCTTTATTCTATTCTTGATCTTGTTAATTACCGTTGGTCAGCATGCTCGTTTTCTTTTTAGGTCGTGGTTGTGGCTTCAACAACTTTTTTTTTTTTTAAGGGGGAAAATCATCAAATGACTGCTCCCGCCTGGGTGAGGCGGAAGGAGGAGTGTCAGACTCTTACTGACTAAAAACCACCCCGTTCCTTCTCCTGCACGTCGAGCCGGAGCCCCGGTTACCCGTTAGGTTCTCCGCGACGGCTTCAACAACTCTAACCACATTCTACACACGAATATTTTTAAAGATGGCCGCCGCTAACCCTGCTTTCTGGACGCGTCACAAAACACCCGCAAACAAACGATAAACACTAATTATCAATCAAATTGCATTACAATATCAGCGGTAATATTTTTAATACAACTTTACACCAGTTTTTGTTAAAGGGAGGTCTACATTTACAGTCTCTACGCTCATGCGACCAGTGTAACTGGGCCCTTGCAATGCAATAGGGGGCGGGCCTATTAGTATTATCCGAGTGTGAACGTATACGCTTCCCTATTGTTCTTCATGTGCAAAATTGAATGAATATAATTCTCACATAGAGCATCATATGCACAGCATATCAGGCATATTGGCGCGCGATTATTAGAACATCCTATCTCAGGTCGACCCTTTATGCACCATTTTCTTTGTCATTGAAATTATTAAGCATTGCAAATAATATAAATATGTATGTATCTTTGACGCAAACACCTGTGCGATTTAAAGGTATCATCAATAAGTAAATTTTAGCAAAAAGACCAGGTTTTAGTAATAAAATCGCGTAATATAATAAATATTTACTCACCGCTACAGCAAGGCTCCTGAAGGCAATGGAGGAAAGAAAGGCGGGGCCAATAATTACTGTCAATATTAGCAGCCGTCGCAGCCGATCGATACAATTACAAACACAGAACTTATAAACTCAACGCTCGCTATTACACATATTTCATAATAAAAATAAATTTTCTTACCTTTACTAACACCAAAGACATCAATATGATTATAATTTTGGTATCCATTTTATTATTAATTTATTCTCGACTTCACGAAACACCGGAAACTAACTGCAACTGCGGGGCGTGTCTACGGATAGTCGTCCAATGAAAATCTGAAATAGTACAAAACGTGCTCATGTAAGTTGCCTCAAATCAATACTCAAAACCAACTTCACAGGATTATACATAGGGTTCATAATTGAACAACTCTATCGGTTGGCAGTAAAATCGGAAGCTGCAGCGGAGAAGATTTATTGCCAGTAAATAAAACAGTAAAGTTATCCAATGTAAGGGAACGTTTCGACTTTTTGAAATGTTTACATTCCACTGATTGTATAATAATAATATTACATAGGAAAAGCTTTATGTCCTCTTGTAGATCGAACGATTATTTTTAGGGAGATAATATTATCATAAGTATCGAGAGACAAGAAAATCCTTTTACCAGCAATATCTATGTACCATATCTAATATCGGATAAATAAAACCAATAAGTGATTTTTGTTGAAAAAATCGAATGACGAGTAAAATATAAGAATATTATTTCCACTTGTTTTAGGACGAGCGCTTTTTGAACGAGTCTACAGAAGTTGGTCCTGCCGATGAGGACCCCAAAGAACCGGGAGATTTCAATATGGTACAAAACAATCGATAATAATTGTGCACTTTTCATAAAGTTTAGGTAATAAATCAATCCATAAACTTAATAAACAATTGATTAACTTCGTCTCAGCCAATATTACCCTATAGTATAAGTTTTTAACATGTAAATTATAATACGAACTGCATAATTATAATTGGCATGAATCTGTTGAAGTTTATTGACCTTGCCACAGATACCTAAACGAAGGGTGGACTCGTTCTGAAGTTGGGGTTGATTTGATTGGCATTTTGGCGCCAGTTTCTGTCTTTGCTGACAGCTTCATGTACTTATTATATTTGTTTTTTTAAACAGCACTCACTTGTTGTGTTCAACGTGTCAGTGTTAAATATTGAACATGTACCTAATAAGGAGTTCTAAATTAGCTCGTCGTAGGTACCCACATTGGGTCCTTCACACATCGATGACAATGAAGAGGTATTTTATTGTATTGTATCGCTTAATTAATTTTATTTATAATAAATAGGTACTCGTGGATTAAGATATATTACAGATAATGCAAATTGATTTTAATATAATTATTGAGATGGGTCTGGGGACAGCCCGTGATGGTCCAGGGCTGGATTATGAGACTTCTACATAAAAAGGGTTTACCCAATGGGTTTACCATGATTTCCTCGCTAGGCCTTAGGCCTGCATAGATTTCAGATCGCAATTGTAAGGTTTACCTGCACAGTTTCACAGGGCTACGGTCGGCCTGCCCAGTCTTTGATAAATTTAATATAGACTCTTACGCCACCCGCGGGAAAAGCAGTGGTAGAGACCAATATATTTTACTCTGCGCCACACTATACTGTTAACAATTCGTGAACGTACATTATTATGAGCTTTCCCATTGTAGCAATGAAATAAAATCTAGACCTATGGTGGTAAATTGAACCTTAGTATGTTGTTTTACGTTAATATTTTTATTTAATCACTATTATCGCGGAATAATTGGCAATTTTATTGAACTAATTACCTATATTATAGTTGAAAAGAAAAGCATTATTTGTGTATGATTAAATAGTTATTTATTATTTAGTTTATACCTATATATAGATTAGGTAAATTATAGTTTATAAATGTAATATGTTATGTTAAGTAGGTAAGTATTTATAATTAAACTCATAATAGAATTTTATCTTAAATTTATCTTTGGTATATTACTGTATGCGGATGGTCTCATAATAATGCTTACACACTACAGTTAAAAATGTTTACTTATGGATACTCATAATTTTTATCCCCTATAGGAGCACCATAGCAGTTACTGTACAGACTTGATTAGTAATAAATTAGATACTTTGTTTCAGAGTAGAAAATCAAGTTTTGTTGATTCATTCATTTGAAACAAATAAGTAAATGTGTGGTAAGGATTTCAGTGATAAAGTTAGTGTCCACAGTACCATCTATCATGTTTTTCTATGTAATAAGAAGCAATTTCATTCATCAGAACATTTAAAACAATTACAATTAATTATTCAGACATTAAAAAATTTGCAACATTATGGTATAATTCTTTTTTCAAAAAACAAATGTAGAGTTGTGACTGATGCTACAGGAGTTTTAGTTAAGACACATATTATGCCTCTATGATACACTATCAACGGTAACTACGAAGCTGACAGGCAGTTTGATAGTAAACGGCCAGTCATTCTCAAAGTAATGAAGACAGTAACCTGGTTTCTTTCTAGTATTGTAGAAGCCCTATTTTATGCTTAGTAATTATAATTACTAATAGTTATTATTAGCCATGGTCATCCCGCTAGCGACAAGGCTTCTCTAACCTTCTTCCACTTCTCTTCGTGGAGTTTTCTTTGACCAATCCTTTTCATAGGCATCAAGTTCATAATCTATATAGATCAATAAATTAGAAGTGTCTGTTTGTAATATAATTTTTTTTTAATTTTCTATTTTCTGTCTATACTGGCTAATCTCTAGAATAGCTGGACAGATTTTGACGGGACTTTTATTGGCACGTAGCTAATGTAGTAGGTAACATAGGCTACTTTTAATTTGGCTAATTGAATTATAAAATAGTTATGTCCTAAAATTTCTATTCTATACGTACAACGTTGCGGGTAACATCTAGTATTTTATAGTATCGTAACATATCTATTTATTGAACAAAACAAAACGTGTAAGTGTGGTTACATATTGAATCCCGGCAGGTGACCTAACAGTTTCTTCTTGTTTGATAAATGCTAAAGGAAAACTCAAGAGTAGAAGTCCTATCACAGAGTTAAATGTATTCAATACAATAGCAGAGTCAGTTTTATAAGGTGTCCAATTTGATTAAAAAATAGGTAGGGACAATAGGGTTTCTAATAAGACTTAAATTACATTGTTGTTACTTATACAGAGGCAGCAAATACCGGCATGATGTTATGTTATGTTATAAGACTAAAAACATTACTGACAAAAGGTAGGATCAATATAATATGGTGGCATTAAAAAAGTATTATAAGGTTATGTATTCTTATATTGTTAAATAAGTAAATGTGGTCTCTAAAATTATTTACATAGAATACCTGCCACCATAAGCATTCCAGTTGTTTTTTTAATTATTTTTACCAAAACTGCAATGCAAAGTATTGAGGAATATTAAAATGAATGTAATGGACCTTTTTTGTACATATGAAAACCTTATTAGATGTCACCTTATTGATGGTAGTGTATATTGTGTAGGAATGTGAACCCTGAACCAATCGAACCTAGAAGCATTGTCAGATGATTGCCCGTGCCCTGTGGCTGGTATCTATTTGAAGCATTATTAAAGCAGTTAGTAGATGTTAAACACAGCAATTTCCAATATAAAGGTATGTAGCTCACCCCTATTTGTGGGTTGGAATAGTTGGCAACTGGGTATGTAACCTATACACAATGTTGTCTATTCATTTGGATCTAAATAAACAAATGTAAGGAATGTCGAAGGGAAATCAAATTTATTACTTTTTATTCAATTAGATCATGGCTCTGTCTAATGGACTGTCTCTGTAAACCAACTGTTGATGTTGTATTTCAAACCGCTTTTGGAAGTAATTAGATTTCAATGTAGTCACGCTTATTGGACTGCCATTTAAAAAGGCCTTTTATAAACATTTAACCTAAGTAATATCTGAAAACTAACGATATGTACCACGTCTTTACATTGTTTCTGTGGTTCTATTATGATAAACGAGCCTATCAATTGACCAAATCTGATCAAATCTTTTTGCCTTTTCGGTACATACTCTTTACACGGGGAACTATGTTTCGTAATTGCTTATAAGAGATTTCAATTGGTCTGTAATATTACTACGCAATTTCACCAATTATTTTCATTTTCTAATAACTTTTCATTGTTTGTAACGAATTCGTTCATACTTTGTTTTTTTTAATCAGTTCATGTCACTGTCAAATGTCAAATAGTAAGTGTCAAAGTCAAACATAGACAAAAGAAAAAAAAGACAACACCATGCCAGCATGGTTGACGTTTCTAAAAATTGTATCCGACTCCATACTTTAATAGCGGTCATAATGATTATACATAATATTATTATAACAATAATTGAATAATTAAAAAGTGTTTAAGTGTCCCTAAATTATCATTTTTACGACGCGCGACAATTTTTTTTATTTTTGTTTAGCTAGCAGGCAGTACATTGCTCAACTAACAGGAAACCTAATCAACCGCCAAAGTGAAATAATCTGTGAACTTAATATTTTTAATAAGTAATATTTATTACAAATAATTTAAATATAAGATTTTCCTATCCTCAATGTTTATAGATTACCAAATTACCTAAACACCTATTAGCATAATAAAATTAATTTAAACTTTTACACTACTCATAAACAATAATACACTCATGTGTCCCATGCAGTAAAAAGCTGTCAGACGATTTTCCACTTCGTAACTAAATTGCAAAATTCTATCTAGTCTATGTATCACGGCTGCTGACCGATCATGTTTTGAAGTGGGTAGAAGCTATATGTGTTACTTTTGTGATGACTGTACGAGATATTTGTAAGGTATTGTTAAAAAAGAAAATTGTTTTCGTATTATTTGTCTACCCTATTCTAGTATTTACAATAGTAAAGTGAGAATCATGGCGTATACTCCGACCACCAGATGACTGCCGAGGTGGCAATTTTCAGATGTCATAATTTTGTACAGTGTTTAATTTGTACTATAAAGGGTTGTTTTTCGGCTTTTAATAAAAGCTTTTGATTACTTTTGCTTCTGTTAAATATGTACTATGTAAGAAAATAAGTTTAGCGAACACATTAAATATGACTAAACAGAAAAACGTCATGATTCTCAAATCGTTTCATTTTCCATTATCACGCTGTATTTTGCCATTTTCAAGCTATAATTTACTCGGTTATGTATGTTTAG